AACAACAAAACTAATTGGCGCTCAGGGGCAACTTCATTGATTCCAGTGGCGCATTTGCTTTTTCAGCTGCAGGAAAACCTGGAAAAACCTGCAGCACCACATGAATGATGTTAATTATTCGAGGATGAGCTGAAGTTAATAATAGGTGCAAACATTTCAATATATGGTAAATTATTCACTACTCTTCAAATTTATATTTTTGGAGAAAACCCAAGCCTGGGTTTTCGTGGCACTGAATTGAACCTGGTTAGTCTCACCCCAATTCGAAAACACCTCTATATCGTCATTAAGATATGTAACCTCCCGCTGCCGGTATTGATGTGCATCCGCAGCCGATGTCTTGGAATCCAAATGGAATGACGAGACAAGTGTGCTGTCGTCAGCAAAGCAATATATTGAATTCTTGTGTTTTTTCAATAAATCGTTGTTATGTATTAAAAAGGGAGTTGGAGATAATATGAATCCCTGGAGAACACCAGCTCTAGAGCCATACACAAAAATGGTCTGACAAGCCATAGCATCGAAAAGACCAGATTAATCATATGTAGATTTTACCATATACTTTCCTTAGAATCACTTCCATTATGAAGGGTTATTTCATAGAAAAAAGTTTTTCCAACCAACTATTTGTAATCTCATCTGACTTTCAAAGTAACTAACAAATACTTAAATGAAAGTATTCAAGTTTGAATCTTCGAATGAAAACTAACAACCAGATGATCAGCTCTGATCATTTATCATTTTCAGTTTATAAATCAGTTTATTACCTCAATTTTACATTTTACCGCTTTTTTAGATATGATAACAGTGGTTTAAGCAGACAAGGAGAGTGCATTTCTCTTTGTAATATTATAGTTCCATCGAAATATTGAAACCATTCATTTGATACAAATACAAATGATACAAATCAAATTGAAGAAAATAATGAACAGAGCACTCACAGGTGGCCGAAGTTGCCCATTTCAAGTATCTTATTCCCTGTACAAGTCTCTTGCTAAACTAAGTTATATCGTTTTAATGCGGCTAATGATTCAGAAACACGTATTTACAATTTATCACTTCTTTGTCCAAGAATTTTCTACATTTCCATTTGTATCAATATCACTCACGAAACCCTATATAACACGAACAAAATATGAAAAATAATGGAGATAATTTAAAAATGGTTACTGCAGCATCAAATTAAATGTGTCTGAATGTGAAAAAAACTAAATTTATTACATTCACCCTATTACAGAACGATCAACCTGGAAATAACATAATCCATATACATGAGGGAGACTGTACTGATACAACAAATTGCAATTGTGCTGTTATAGAAAGAACGAAAATTTTTAAGTATCTGGGAGTTATTGTGGATCGGAATACGAGGTGGGATGACCACATAAACTATGTTGTAAAACGGCTCAAACTTTTAACAAAAAAATTCTATGAATTGAGAAATATTCTGGAATACAAAAATTTCATCACAATATACCAGTCTTTTGCAGAATCTGTAATAAGATACTGTATTGGTGCCTGGGGTGGTACATTTAACAATTCTCTCAATACCCTCCAAATATCTCAAAATACAATCTTGAAAATATTATTCAAAAAACCTAAACCATACTCTACCGAATGTCTGTATAAGGAAACGCAGTTACTGAAAACGAGAGAACTCCATATCCACCAATGTTTAACTTGGGTGTACACGAAATTGGATGATCTAACGCCACTTTCCCTCAATGGTGTGGTCATTCCATTTGGATCGGAGGTGAAATATCTTGGCATTGTCCTTGATAAAAGACTCACCTGGAACGCTCACTTTGAAATAGTTTTACACAAAGCCAGACTGTCTCTATGGACATGTCGAAGGATGTGTGGTAAAACTTAGGGTTTACGTCCCAAACAAATCCATTGGATTTATTTGATGATTGTCAGACCAATGATCACTTATGGTGCAATTG